TTCACTGAATTTGTTCCCTCAGCACCAAACTGTAAGATGATATTCATCCAACATGCTCACATCTGCACTGAGAAGCAAGGTCTGTCATAGGCTCTGGCATTATCAGCTGCTGTTAAAGTCATTTGTTTGTAAAACTGTAATCATAGGGCTTTCTCTGAATGCATGCCATTAGCATTTCTGTGACCCAAATAATTCTAGAGATGAAATAATTTCATGGGCTTGAGATCTCCTGCATTACCAACTCCTTTTGCTGCCCTTGAAAGTGAAGCTCAGCCACTGGATGTTGTTTGGTACCTGTTAGGTCCATGGGACCCTTGTTTGTCCAGGCTCATCTTAGCCCCCCAGCCCTTTGCCCAGGGCTTCTTGATACACCAGAAACTGTCTAGACACTGTCTAGTGATTCAGAGCCTTTTGTAGCAGTTTCTTGGTGTTTGTATGAACTATTTGCTCTTTGCTTGTTTCACTTTTTTGTCATATGAAAGATATCCAGATGCCGTGCTAGGAAAAAAAAAATGAGTGTGTTAATTAAAAAAAAAAGACGTATTTTGGGGGGATTTTATATACTTTACTTGGAACCACTTCAGAGACTTGAATGGCTGGCCACTAATTTTCTCTAGAACGTCTAGAATAGTAAAAAAGAATATGATCAAATTGGTTGAGATCGCCTGTTTTTCATTATTACTGGTGAGTGCTAACTCACCCCAAGGTTTATGTAACATCAGTTACTAGGAATACTGATTTCCATTGATCTTTCACTATTTCTGTCTGTGTTCCCAGAAAGTAAGGAACACTTCCCAGTTAATGCACTCAAACAAAAAAATTGACAATTTTGGTGTCTCAGCAAGTTACAAGTACACGTGCTTGAAGACGCATTCCTCTGATGGAAGATGTGTGTCTCTCTATCTGCAAGTTGTTCTTGGTGAAAGACCCAGAGTAGATAAAATAAACTTAGGCGTGGAGTTCTTGGTTGGAAAGTTTTGAGAATAATTGTGTCATTGTGTTCAACCCTCAAAGCTGGGACAAGGATGATAGGGACAAGGATGTGTCATCTAAAAGTTGAACTAGCAAAAACCTACATGCAAGGAAGAGATTGGCTGCCTATAGGAGCAACCCAAGAAATTGCATAGGTGAGACTGAGATGTTTGAGGAATACCCAGTGCTCTAATAAGTAACTTTTTTGGATGTAAGTCAAGGGAGCAGGGACAGAATATAATTGAGAAAAAATGACCAAATCAATTAGGTTTTCTAAACACCAGATGTTTGATAAGTATGTTAACAAAAAGAGGATGCTCAATGTTGTGTCATTATTTTGGCATGTTTGTCCAGCACCACTAGGAAAAATAATGAATCTGATGAAAGGAAACTTCCAATGACCAGAGAAAGGGATTCAGTTACGGGGCAGGAGTCTTCTTTTAATCAGGTTTCACCATGGTCTACATGAAATATCCCTCAGGATCTCTCTCTGCTCTGATCTCATTTTGTGTCCATGAGTGAACATTCTAGTTTCTAATCTGTCTCCTAGGTATCCTGCAAATGTGAAAGGGATACCCTAGGTCTGACCTATGAAAGCCTCTCACTGGTGTTGAGTACACTGGCATGCCTGGTTATGTACCAGCCTTTTGGAAATCCTTTGGTGTGAGTTAGCCTTAGTGGATCCAAACAATTTTTTTGTGTTCCAACCAAGCACATGCCCTGACTTCTAAAGCTGAGGACTAACCCCTGAGGAAGGGAGCAGCCAGCCTCTCAGAGAGGTCTCAAAGCTCATCGTATCAGTCAGATCAGGCCCAATTAAATTCACTGGGAGGGAAGACAATCTAAACAGAGGCATTCAGGAAAGTCATCAGAGGACACTGGCTATGGGCTATGGTTCTGATAACTTCCATGATGTTAAGAACTCTAGGATGGGTAGGACAGAGGCCTACTGAGAGGAACTGCTATATAGACACATGATTTATCGCCAAAGAATAGCATCAGAGTTTTCAACACAACTGACTTAGTGGGGTATCAGGTTAGGTTGTGGAATACCTGTTTTCTCTGCCCAGTGGTCAGATTGACCCCTGAGTCTGGAAAATGGATGGAACTGCAGGAATGGATTAAAGATTTATCAGTTCCATTTTTGTTTCTAGTGACTGGGGAGGCAGAAACGCTTAAGTGCAAGAGATTTAATTGGCTCATTTAAAAAACTTTAGGAATATAACTGGCCTCAGGCACAGCCGAAGGCATTGGGCTTAAATGGTATTATCAGGATCTGGTCTCTCAGATAGAACCATGTTTCCTTGAGTCTCATACAGTTTGTCTCCTACTGAGGTCACAAGATGATGGCAACTACTTTTGATCCTCCCTTCTCAATACTTTAAATACAGCGGGAGAGAGAATCTCTTTCACAGAACCATTTCATGGCTCCTTAATTATAATTTGGTAACTTGTCCATCCTTGAGCCAGGGAAATGTGATTCTTTCATTGGTCAGTGTCTGAGTCACTTGATCATCTTTAAGACAAAGGTAGAGATACCTTCATTAGAAGCACCTGGACAGTTTCACAGAGAAGAATTAGGGTAGAGTCTCCAGAAGAAAGATAAATGTATATTGGGCAGGAGTGTAAAAGGCTGATGATATGGAGATCGGAGAAAAATCATAGAATGATATTTTCTGTGACTTCAGGAAAGATTTTTGGACTGGATATCAAGATATGAATGTTATCACTCCCAAAACTCATTAGCTCTTTAAGTAACATACATTTGAGTGCCTCACGTATCCCATAATATTTATTTTACCTGATTCCCATACTCAGTGTGAATAGACAAGTCACCTTCCTGACATTGTCACCACCATTATTATACTCTTGGCTGCATTGACTCCACCACTGTGTGTCATTGTCCTTCGTAGAACCCTAAGACAAGAGTTGTTTATATAATGCATGTGTACAATATGCAATCCTGTATTCATACTAACTTTTGAATCTATTTAAAAGAATAGCTAAAATCTGAAATTACATAACTGTGCTTTTGTGATATGAAAAGAGGTCATATAATATCTTGATGAATTCTCTCCAAATACAACCCTGTAATCAGAACCCAGACCAAAATTAAAAATTAATGAAATTGAGCATATTTTCATGTTTTGGGGCTTTATTTTGTAAAGTGTCTGTTTAAGTCCTGCTTATTTTTCTATTTGATTGCCTGTCTTCTTTTTCTTGTGGATTGGAAGAGTGTGTGTGTGTATATATATATATAATATATATATAAAAAAATAATACTTTTATATTTATAACATATTATATATAATATTATATATATATACACACACACACACACACACATATATCCAAAGGTTTACTAGTACCCAGAACATATTATAGATATCTTCTTTCATTCTTTGGATTATCTTTTTTACTTTTTAAATTGTATCTCTTAATGACTAGAAGTTCTTGATTTTATCCACTTTATGACTTTTTTATTGTTAATTTTTGAGTTAGTTTAAGGAAGTATTTGTCTACTCTGAGGCCATGAAAATGTTCTCCTGGGTTGTCTTCTCTGTCTTGTTTTATTTTTCACCTTTAGATCTGCAATCTATCTGAAATTGATTTTAGTTACGGCAGATACAGGGGTGGAGATATGTTTTTCCCCCATATAAATATCTCATTGACCCAACTGCCCCATTTCTATTGCTCAGGAGTTGTATGTATCAATGACAATTTTTATCTCATGTCCTTTCTTTTGTCCTTATTGTAGGATTTGAATGTATAAAGGCAGAATTCTACATTTCATTCTAAGAATATAATTTTCTCTTTAAGCCACAGGGAAAGTTAAAGAATGAAAGTGGTCCTGGCTTTGCATTGTATTAATCAGGATACAAGCTCAGTTACAGAACAAAGATCTAAATATAACAGTGGGTTAAGCAACACAGAACATTGTCTCTCATCAAATAATGCAAGAGTAGAAGTCCAGGACTATTTCTCCCAAACACACTGTGCACCGCACAGTTTTTTTTTCTACAGTTAGTCTGAGAGGTGGCGTTGATGGCCAGGGGCAGTGAATATGTACCATTCATTTCTAAGAAAACAATTCGTTGACCAAAATGTTATGTGATAGAAAAAAAAAAAAAAAGAAAACAATTTGTATTTTCTAAATATTATTCCTTAATTTGGTAACTAAATGCTAATAGGACTACTTTATATGTAAGGATATTTATATTCAGTCACAAAGTAAATCAAGAAGAGAATTGTTTTAGGATCCAGAATACCTTTAGGTTTTAATCTTACGTTCATTTTTTTTTCCTCTGAATCTAATTAGCTGAAACTTTAATTTTTAAGATAGATATAGTCAAAAATCAACTTGTTCAACATTCCTTAGGTTTTTTTCTCAAGTGTAAATCTGACAAGTGATTCCTGTCATCAGTGGCCCCCAATTACCCTAAAGATCAATTCCAAATTTCTCAGCCTGGTATGCTGGGCCTTTCATAATCATGCCCCTGTTTACCTACCCCGTCTCTCCCCTCACCTCCTACTCCCATTTCCTCACACATACCACATTCCAGCCATCCTGAGCTATTTACAACTCCCCAGTGCCATCAGGTACTCCCTCACCTCGGTCTCTGCACACCTACTCTTCCTTCTTTCTGTCTACTCCCTGCCTTGCCAGCACCCAGCCATCTTTTATTCATCCATGAGGTCCCAACTAAGACATTACCTCCTCCAGGAAGTCTTTCTTGACATTCCCCAAAACTGAATTGAGTGCTCCTTCTCTGCTGTCTTAGCACCCTGCCTTTTGCCCATCTCGGCTGTCATCAGTTTATGCTGTTAACTGCCTGTTTGTCTTTAGGTCTCTTAAACAAAACCAGGAGTTCCCAGAATTCCCAAATACAATATAAACAGGGCAAGGCCTGTGTTTTCACAGCTGTACTCTGGGAGCTTCATCCAATAAATATTTTTTGAATGAGTGAATGAATGAATAAATGAATAATGAGTCACTTATTATTTGTGGCTTTCTTATATTTCCTCAGAATTACAACCGACCCCCAGTGATGGCATTAGCCATCCCCATTGCAGTGAAATTCCTCCACAGAGGCAACAAGGAACTGTGTAGGAATATGTCTAACTACCTGTCTCTGGCTGCAATTACCAAGGCAGATCTCCTGGCTGATCACACGGAAGTTATAGTAAAGAGCATACTCCAAGGTATGGTGCAAAAGTTGAGCTTGGGGACATGTTTTAGGAGACATTTAAAAGTATTTTCATGAAGCATTTGTGGTTTGTGGGAAGCAAGACCTAGAGTATTAGAAGCAAGTTAATTTTCTGTTTTGCTGCTAGTTGACTTGTGAACATGCAAAAGGTTACTTAATCTGGCTGTCTGTGTCCCTTCCCAAGGCAGATGAATTACTTAGACTCAGTAAAAGAATTGTAAGCTTTCTGCCAAATCTGTGTTTCTCAGTTTGAAGAACTGCATTTTCCATGCTTCTGGTCACCTGTTCAACTACCAACTGTGGAGATCTTATCTCTGTGTACTGAGTGGAACTTGTCACTCAGTGGGATATGAAAAACCTGTCTTCATTTGGTTCCCAAAGCAAGAAATGTCTTTTTTTAGATAAAATACATCAGAAAATGTGTAATGACTTCTTAAATGTGAACTTGATTTGGGAATGATAACAAGCATAAATGCTAGCATAAAAAGCCAGGTAGTACACCTCTGTTAATTGTTACAACATTTGAATGAATGAGAAGCTCAAATTAGTTCATGCAAAATATTCTCCTTGTCTTCTTTTATTTTCTTTGGTGTCAGATCAATCAAAAAACATGTTTTTGAATTTGGAGTCAGAGAACAATATATGATATTAATTGATGTGCATCCAAATGTCCCCAGTTCTCATTAATAAAGATACATGAGGTCCATGAGTATCTCAGCCCACAGTTTACCGCCATTAACCCACCACATGATAAGGTTGATCATCAACCCTCCGTAAAGTGCTCACAGTCCAAATAATTCTTAGGGTCCCCAAGGGTATCCTATGTGTGCTGTCTTCCCAAGGTATCCAGACCAATCCCCAAGCCCATACTGCTATTCTGTCCATGCTTCCTGGCACAGCATGGTGGGGTGCTGTCCTCTTCCACCATGTGAGCCCAGCAGACCCTAAGACCACTGCCATGCAGGTCCCAGGAATGGACTCCACTCCTGGGAACTCCATGCTACCCTGCCAGTGATGGCAGCCTTTGTGCTGAACCACCTGAAGCTTCAGGAACTACTAAGTCCTTAGCCCAGTAATTTAATGTGGCAGCCAGTGGCAGGATGAGAAAAAACACTAACTAGCCTTTCTCCTTAGTGTTGCACCTTGGTAGAGAGGCCCCAGAGCAGTGCCAAAGTGAGTTGCCATGTTTGCAGTAAAATAGATGGTTTTTCAGTAGAACAGAATAGAGAACCCAGAAATAAAGCTGCACACCTAGAGCCATCTGATCTTTGACAAATTCAACAAAAATAATCAATGGGGGAAGGACTCCCTATTCAACAAATGGTGCTAGGATAACTGGCTATCTATATGCAGAGGAATAAAACTGGACAACTATCACCATATACAAAAATTAACTCAAAATGGATTAAAGACTTCAATGCAAGTCCTCAAGGAAACTATAAAAGTCCTCAAGGAAAACCTAGGAAATACCCTTCTTGACAACAGCCTTGGCAATAAATTTATGGCTAAGTCCTTAAAAGCAATTATGACAAAAACAAAAATTGACAAGTGGGACCTAATTGAACTAGAGAGCTTCTAGACAGCAGAATAAATTATTATCAACAGAGTAAACAGACAACCTACAGAATGGGAGAAAATTTTTGCAAACTATGCATCTGAGAAAGGTCTAATATCCAGAATCTATACGGAACTTAAGCAATTCAACAAGCAAGAAACAAATAACCCCATTAAAAAGTGCGAATCAAAAAGTTAGAAAGATCTCAATTTAACAACCTAGCAGTGTAACTAAGAGAACCAAGAGGAAACCAACTCCAAAGCTAGCAGAAGACAAGAAATAACCAAAATCAGAGCTGAACTGGAGGAGATTAAGACACACAAAAAATGTAAAAGATCAATGAATCCAGGAGCTAGCTAGACTGCTAGCTAGACTAATAAAGAAGGTAATAGAGAAGCTCCAAATAAACATAACCAGAAACAAAGGGATATTACTATTGACCCCACAGAAATACAAACAACCATCAGAAGATATTATGAACACCTCTATACACATAAACTAGAAAATCTAGAGGAAATTAGTAAATTCCTGGGCACATACACCCTTAAGACCTAACCAGTAAGAAATTGAGTCCCTGAACAGACCAATAATGAGCTCTGAAATTGAATCAGTAATAAATAGCCTACCAATCACAATAAGCCCAGGACCAGACAGATTCACAGTTGAATTCTACCAGATGTACAAAGAAGAGCTGGTACCAAAATTGAGGGAGAAAGAATCCTCCCTATCACATTCTATAAGGCCAGCATCATCCTGATAGCAAAATCTGGTAGAGGCACAACATAAAAAGAAAACTTGAAGCCAATATCCTTGAACATTGATGCAAAAATTCTCAATAAAATACTGGCAAAACAAATCCAGCAGCACATCAAAAAGCTTATCGACCATGATCAAGGCTTTATCTCTGGGATGCAAGGTTGGTTGAACATATGCAAATCAATAAATGTGATTCATCACATAAACAGAACTAAAGACAAAAACCAATAGATGCAGATAAGGCTTTTGATAAAATTCAACACCCCTCTATGTTAAGAACTCCCAATAATCTAGGTATTGAAGAAAGATACCTCAAAATAGTAAGAGCCATCAATGGCAAACCCACAGGCAACATCATACTGAATGGGCAAAAGCTGGAAACATTACCACTGAAAACTGACACAAGACAAGGACGCCCTCTCTCACCACTCCTATTCACCATAGGATTGGAAGTCCTGGCCAGAGCAATCATGAAAGAGAAAGAAATATAGCACATCCAAATAGGAAGAGAGGAAGTCAAACTATCCCTATTTGCAGATGATATGATCCTATATCTAGAAAATGCCATAGTTTCAGCCCAAAAGCTCCTTAAGCTGATAAACAACTGTAGCAAAGTCTCAGGATACAAAAATCAATGTACAAAAATCACTAGCACTCCCACACACCACCAGTAGCCACGCTGAGAGCCAAATCAGTAATGCAATCCCATTTACAAGTGCCACACACACACACAGATAAAATACCTGGGAATCCAGCTAACCAGGGAGGTGAAAGATCTCTATAAGGAGAACTACAAAACTCTCCTCAAAGAAGTCAGAGATGACAGAAACAAATGGAAAAATATTCTATACTCATGGATAGGAAGAAACAATATCATTAGAATGGCCATGCTGCCCAAAGCAATTTATAGATTCAATACTATTCCTATTAAACTACTAATGACATTCATCACAGAACTAGAAAAAATATTTTAAAATTCATATGAAATCAAAAGAGAGCCTGAATAGCCAAGGCAATCCTAAGCAAAAAGAACAAACCTGGAGGCCTCACACTATCTGACTTCAAACTGACTTCAAATAGGGGTACAGTAAGCAAAACAGCATGGTACGGGTGCAAACACACACACATAGACCAATAGAACAGAATAGAGAACCCAGAAATAAGGCTACACACCTACAACTATCTAATCTCTGAAAAAGCTGACAAAGCAAGCAATGAGGAAAGGACTACCTATTCAATAAATGGTGCTGGGATAACTGCCTAGTCATATGCAGAAGATTAAAACTGGACCCCTTCCTTATACCACATACAAAAATTAACTTAAGATGGATTAAATACTTAAATTTAAAACCCAAAACTACAAAAACGCTGGAAGACAACCTAGGCAACACCATTCTGGACATAGGAATGCACAAAAATCTCATGAAGAAGATACCAAAAGCAATTGCAACAAAAGCAACTGCAACAAAAGCAAAAATTGACAAATAGGATCTAATTAAATTAAAGAGCTTCTGCACAGCAAAAGAAACTATCAATAGAGTGAACAAATAATCTAGAGGATGAAAGGAAATATTTGCAAAGTATGCATCTGACAAAGGTCTAATATCCAACATCTATAAGAAACTTAAAGAAATTTACAAGAAAAAAAATTACAAAGTGGGCAAAGGACATGAAAAGACATATTTCGAAAGAAGACATATGTGCAGTCAACAATCATGAAAAAACTCAACATTACTGATCATTAGAGAAATGCAAATCAAAACCACAATGAGAGACCATCTCACACCAGTGTATTATTAAAAAATAACAGATGTTGGCAAGGTTGTGGAGAAAAAGGAATGCTTATACACTGTTAGTGGTGGTTGGTCCTCCAAAACCTAAAAACAGAACTACTATTCAATTCAGCAATCCCATTACTGGGTATATACCCAAAGAAATATAAATTGTTCCATCATAAAGACACATGCACACATATGTTCATTGCAGCACTATTCACATTAGCAAAGACATAGAATCAACCTAAAATGACCATCAATCATAGACTGGCTAAAGAAAATGTGATACCTATACACCATGGAGTACTATACAGTCATAAAAAAGAACAAGATTATGTCCTTTGCAGGAATGTGGATGGAGCCAGAGGCCATTATCCTTAGCAAGCTAACACAGGAACAGGAAACCAAATACCAGATATTGTCACTTACAAGTGGGAGCTAAATTATGACAATACCTGGACACATAGAGAGGAACAAAAGATACTGGGGCCTATTGGAGGGTGAAGGGTGAGAGGAGGGAGAGGATCAAGAAAAGTAACTAATGGGTACTGGGCTTAATACCTAGGTAACAAAATAATCTGTACAACAAACCCCCATAACCTAAGTTTACCTATATAAAAAAACTGCGCACGTACCCCTGAACTTAAAGAAAAAAAAGGGGGCAAAGGACCTGAACAGACACTTCTCAAAAGAAGACATAAAAGCAGCCAACAAATATAGGAAAACTTGCTCCATATCACTAATCATCAGAGAAATGCAAATCAAAATCACAGTGAGATACCATCTCATACCAGTCTGAATGGCTATTATTAAAAATTAAAAAAACAATAGATGTTGGCAAGGCTGCAGAGAAAAGAGAATGCTTATGCACTATTTGTGGGAGTGCCCATTAGTTCAGCCACTGTGAAA